AGACGGGGTTTCACCATGTTGACCAGGATGGTGTCGATCTCTTGACCTCGTGATCCACCCGCCTCGGCCTCCCACAGTGCTGGGATTACAGGCTTGAGCCACCGTGCCCGGCCACTGATTCAGATTTTTAAATTGCCCATCCATTTTGTTTTTTCTGAGCAACAGTCAGAGATCACTGGTTGGTTCACAGGAATAAGCAAAGTTAGCCTAAATTGCAGAAACAAACTTAAATACAACTGATGACACTAGAATCTAATAACAAGCATAGTATAGTTCTTGAAACATTTTTCTCTCTCCAGTTTCCCATTTTTACTAAAGACAAATCATGATAAGACTGATTTGCCTTATTATACTTGGTCTAATTATTTGTATAAAGTGCAGCAAGAATAATTATTTTTTGGATAAATGCTTTCAAATTGGTTTTGATGGAACTCGGTTTCATAGAAGGAATCTTAGATAAGACATTTTTAGAGCCAAGCCCTGCCATGGGTTTGTACCCTCAAATACCTATGAGTTGAGTAAATTCCTTTCCTTTTGAGGTCCCAAGATAACTTGGGGCTCCTGGACATTTTAGAAAGTGACATTCTTTACTTATCACAGGTGAGAAGCTCTGTATAGGGACTGTTGTAGACAAGGTCTGAGGTCAGTTCCCCAAGGGGCTTTTATTGACTTCACAAATCAAGTTTGATTCCTTAAAGGAAAGCACACCATTCCAGTCAAAGCCTTGGTAAAATAACCAGTTTCTTCAATTCTGTCTTAGCATTGCAAAAGAAAACAGATTCGGATTGCACTTACGCAAGTACCTATATTGCCATAAATTAAGAACACTCACAACTAGTTTCCAAATTCTGGAGAAATTAGGTAGAGAGAAACAAATACATTCCAAATTTTGTTCACAGGAATTTACTCAATTGTTACAAGCCTTAAATAGCTAAAAATCAAAAAACACTTTTCTTGACTCCATAAAACAAAGGATCAGCAATAGTTTAAACAAAGTTAGAAAGATTACTTTAGATTTCTGTTGGTTCACTCAACTCAGTTAACTCCTGTTTTGCTTGATATTCATGAACATTTCAGCTCTCCTTGAATCCTGAAAGTTTTTCCCTTTTTTCTGATGTCACAATCTCCAAAGTTATCAGAAACCTGCGTTCCAGAACACCTGCTAGAGCTTTATAGTTAATTATAAACCAACTTCTAAAGAGGACCAAAGCAAGACAACAATTGTTAGTAGATGACAAAATGTCTTAGGACATGCACAGTTAAAAAACACTATTGATAAAGAAATTTGGTTACCTTTGTGGCATACAGTGACTTTATGTAACAATTATTAAAAACATACACTAAGTCATATTAGAATTATAGGCGTTTTCCAGAATTTTGGAACATATACCAACAACACATTTATACAAATACAGCTCAAAGGAAACCAAACACCATTTTATATTTTACAATGCTTCTTTTTTTTTTAAATTGCATTTTAGGTTTTGGAGTACATGTGAAGAACATGCAAGATTGTTGCATAGGTACACACGTGGCAGTGTGATTTGCTGCCTTCCTCCCCCTCACCTATATCTGGCACAATGCTTCTGATAGGATTTTAATGTTAAATAAGCCAAATGTCACTGTTGCATTAGTGTGCTGTTGATGTTAAACCCAATTTTTAATGAAACTTTATAGACAAATGTATTCAATCTTAATCAGTTTGACCATATGGTAAAATTTTAATAAACCTTTTATAATCCTTTACAATTTTTGTTAAAGAGTAGATCATAAGTGGGTTTTTGCTCTTAGAAAAAACTATTGCACTTTTATTCTAATGTTTAATTTGCAGAAAAACTGAATAATATACCCCTTTAACTTTAGCCAATATGTTCATGAACAGAATTTGTTTTACAAACTCATATTTTACAAGCCTTCCACAATTTGCTTGCTTAAACCTTCAGCTATTCCTACCTTACTTAAAATAATCCTTTAACCCTTTAAACATAGGCAAAAAAAGAAAAAAAAATCCACATTCCCATGACTTCTTATAATCTTTTACCAAAACACATTTCACTTTCATTTACACACCTCACATCTAAGAGTGTTTCTTCAGTAGTCTCAATTACATGCTACAGTATTAACTCTTAGCAACTTTTATTTTGGCTGAATACCTTGGTAAGTTCAGGATTTTAATTATGTACCAGGTGTGGAGACTAGGACAGCAGACAAAAGTGCAGATAAGGGCAGACTTTTTCCAGCAGAGCTAGGGGCTATGGCTACCTCCACATGTCCCCAGCTGTATCTAGAATCTAATGCTTCAAAATCAATTGAACAGTTTTCAAAAGTCAAAGAAGCAGTTTATGACCTTAAAGCATTTAGCAAACTTAATAGCTGACCAGCATAATTTAGACAAAATATTTACATTTCTGAAGATATTTTTATTTTACCAGTAATCTTTTACAACTTTCTTTGTTTCCCAGAAATTACTTAAATTACATGAGCTAAAAGGTATCATACCTTTTACTTTTCTCACAAAATATTTGATTTAATATCTTATTATTAAACCAATTAATCAAATCTCTTTCATATATAAATATCACACACACAATACATATAGAGACAGAAGAAGATAAAGGACTTATTCCCTAAGCTGGGAATCAAGCCCTGAACCCAGGTTGTCATTGTGGAAAGAGAAAGCATGGCCACTTGGTTACAAGGTCAAGCTCCCAAGGACATACAAGATGAGAGGGAAACCTCGTCCTGGTTTTTCAGGGACCTCTAGCAAAGTTTCTAACTGATCAGTTTGCTGAGCTGTCTTGAACAGCAGGCTTATAGGTGTCCAAAGCCTGTGTTCTATCCTAAGTTATCCCTCTTGATGACAGAACAATAAAGGAAGACATATAAAGTACACTGGATTCATTACAGCTTAAGACTAGCTTCACAAATCCTTTTTCCCATTAATCAAAACTTTATAGGAGATAAACTGTTTGTTTGTTTGTTTGTTTTTTTACCATGAATGATTTTTGCCCTTCATTTAACCAGGTGGAGGGGGGAGAGGGGGAGAGAGAGAGAGAGAGAGAGAGAGAGAGAGAAGCATTGCCTGAAGCAGGATGGGGAAAGCAAAACACTTAGGGAGGCCAGGGAAAGATCCACCCATTGCAGCAACACTGAAATTTCAGGTGGCCACTTGTTGGTAATGAAGGGAGCTTTTCCAGGAGTCCCATCAGCTCTCAAGTTTCCCCTTTCAGGGAGAAAAAAGCTCCGTGTGTCCCATGATCCTGTACATTCCTAATTCTGTCCCCATAGCTGTCAGCAAAGAGTACAAGACAGATTATTCCAAATAGAATAGCAGTTAACATCCCATAGTGCCAAATCCATTCATAGATGAAAGGGACTTTACCATGACGGGCTTTACTGAGAGAGGCCTTTAACCCCCTAAGTCATAGAAGGGACTCTAATCCAAGGTGGGTCAAGGGTCCTTGCCTTTTTATTAAGAGGGGCCTCTAATCCACTCTGTCTTGGGAGAGACTGTAACGGGAGTCAGGCCTCTAACCCAATCCCATTTGTTACCCAGGTACACCACCACTTACCCAAAGCCATCCAATCAGTGCTACAGTCTATTTCCTTTGGATTGGGGGGTCACCTCAGTATCATCCCTTCTGTGGTTCACCAGAAGGATGTTACTGGACCCCACCACTTACCCAAAGTTGGCCTTTGGGTTGGGGATTTCTGCACTTACAGTTGCTTCCATGGTCATCAGAAAGATGTTATAGGACCCCACCACTTACCGAAAAGTTAGCCTCTGGGTCAGAGGTTTCCTCACTATAGTCCCTTTGTGGTTGCCAGAAAGATGTGACAGGAAAGGGGTCCTGATCCAGGCCACAAGAGAGGGTTCTTGGATCTTTTGCATGAAAGAATTCAGGGCGAGTCCATAGAGTAAAGTGAAAGAAAGTTTATTAATAAACTAAAGGAATAAAAGACTGACTACTCTATAGAGCAGCCCAAGGGCTCCTGCTTGCCCATTTTAATGATTATTTCTTGATGATATGCCAAACAAAGGGTGGATTATTCATGCCTCTCCTTTTTAGACCATATAGGGCAGTTCCTGACATTTTCATGGCATTTGTAAACTGTCATGGCTCTGGTGCAGCAGTGAGGATGACCAGAGGTCACTCTTGTGGCTATCTTGATTTTGGTGGGTTTTAGCTGGCTTCTTTACTGCAAATTGTTTTATCAGCAAGATCTTTATGACCTGTATCTTGTGCTGACCTCCAGTCTTATCCTGTGACTTAGAATGCCTTAACGATCTGGGAATGCAGCCAAGTAGGTCTCAGCCTCATTTTACCCGGCTCCTATTCAAGATGGAGTTTCTCTGGTTTAAATGCCTCTGACAAAACCGTTGTAGTCAGGGACTGTGTGTATAGTCATTATCTGAACTGAGGATGCAGTAGTAGAAACAAACTCAAGTATTCTGAGGAACTTAGCATAGATAATAAGAAGTTAATTACTAACGAAGAAGACTGTTAAAATTAAGGTGGAGTTTTAGATGTCTAATGTGAAAATTTAACAAGTTTTTCGAAAAGGAGACTGTTTACCCATGAAAGCTAATTGTTAATTCTATATATGCATTGACCCACTCAAGGCTATAGACACCTCTCTATAATTGTGGGATTATGCATGTGGTAAAAACAATTTTATGTCTGGGTTTAAAATCATGTGGTTTTGGAGTGTTGGTTTTAGGACCTGTAAACCTTTTTATATAAGATGATGTTTTTGACATTTCAGGCTCAGTTCATTTGAGTTGATGGGAGTCCATTGTCAGAATATATAGAGTAGTAAGAAGAACATGAATTGATCTTGGTCCCCGTGACCTGGGCCTCAAGGCTACAACATTGGTTTTAGTAGTTTGAGATTAGTCCTGTTTATGCCACAGTAACTGTAAAAGCAGTTCTGAACTCCAGGGCAATGATCTTTCAACATTTATTTTAGGTTCGGAGATACATGTGCAGGTTTGTTCTGTGACATGATCTTTCAATTTTTGAGATCATATGTTCCATCAGAAAAAAAGTGAGCGTAATTGATACACATTTATAAAGTTACATATATGTATTACTATAATATTGAACATAAGCAGAATAAAGTTTTAAAATAGGGGATTAAAAAAAGTAAGTCTAATTTCTGGAATTTTCCTCCACACCCCAGTAGGTTGTTTGGGTACTCCCCTGAAATGTGCATACCTTTTTTGAACCCCCTGCCCTGGTCCTTTGCCAGTATGGTGACTCAGCTGTTTTGGTTGCTTGGGTGGTGTTAACTAGCTGCATGATCTTGAGCAGATACCTTTATTTAACAGATTTGTAAAATGAGGGTAATTATACATATCTCATAGGATTGCTTTGGAGATTAAATGTAACGTGATCTCTAAAATTGTTAGCACGGTGTATGAAAAGTTAGCTGTTTTTCCCCATTGATGAGTTTCTCTTTATTTTCCTCTGTTTCACTACTTCTGTTCATTCATATAACTACTTCTTTTTCTTCTGCGTCAGGACTTTGCTTAGAGCCTTCTGTCTGTTTGTTTCTGTTGGTTTCCTTTCTAAGTCTCATGTACAGACAGGGAATCTGGGCTAATTGGTTATAACCATAAGACCCATTTTGCCTGGAACAATCCTGGTTTCAACCTGTGGTCCCAATACGACTATGGTGATTCTTTTACCTTCTCAAGGTGCCCTGAATTGAAAATAAAGCACAAGATGAACTTCTTAATAAGTCACCATCAAGTATAGATGACCCATATGGGGGCGGATGTCTTGTATGAAGGATGCCTCCTTGGCACTGCACCTCTTAGAGATGGCTCTCTGGCTATCTTCATATGATGTGTTAACCAGAAGAGGAGGGTCCCATCTATCAGGACATGATGGGATGGCATGGTGAGTGTGGCATGACCTCAGGGAGATATCTAGTACAAGAGGTCACTCTTAATCCACAGAACAATAGATTACTTTAGGAGATGGCTGGACAGTTGGAGTCTATAACCATGGTGACTGTCTACTCAGATTGCAAAAATGAAAATCAAGAATTTATTGGGTTTTGAACTTGAAAATCTGAACCTGCAACCTGAAGCTCAACATCAAGGTGGACATTTTCTAAGCTGAGAAAATGTTCTTTTGATTTGGAATAAAATGTGCTACTCTTATGTAAGGTTACACTTACTCATAGCAGGAGTTACAAATAGGTCTCTGCACCAGGTGCTCTGGAAAGAACAGAATAGTTTCTTGTTCTCCTAATGTTTACTAAAAAACTTGTTGTTACTTGTCTTGTGGGTTTTTCAATTCTGGCTTCGTGTTTTAACTCTACTGGACACTGAGCAGATAAGAATTAGCAATTGTGAAGTTTATTTTAACAGTGTCAGGAAAAAAACATACGTGATTACTGAATAATGCACATTTTCTTCACTTTCAAATAATTTCTATAACTGTGTTCTTGAGGCATAATATTTAAAATTGATACTTAGGAAGTCATAGATAGGAGACACATTCCATAATCAAGTAAATGGAAGATTAAGATGTTTTGGTTTTTAATTCTATTTCATGACCTTTATTGGAGTTGATAACATGAGAAAGTAATGGGTAAGTTAACTTTTATGTTTCCTGAGATCTGTAGACTCAGATTTCTAAAACAAACATAATCCTGTGATCATCAATCTGAAATTTTACAGCCCTGACCCAATACTTGAAAACAATGGTTTAATTTCCTGTCTTAAATGTGGTGAGTGTATCGGACCATATCAATATTTCATTGTTTCTTCAGGAGAAAAAAAATAACGATTGAAACCCTACGATTACTAGAGTTAAAAAATCAGTTATGACTTAAAAAATGGCTGCAGTGCAGACTTTTCCACTAATACTTGACATTTTTCATTATGGAATAAGCAGTAACTTCTCAGAAAAGCCTGAGTAGTATGTCTGAGGGGTTGTTGCTTTGGATCAGGGTTCATTTTTAATTTCCTGACTTGGACATTTAAAAGTCAATCCTAACTAATCATAATCATGAGTTCAATTTCTTCCTCGAGGTTCCATCTTGGACTTTCAAATTGCAGAGAAGAGATAATAACCCATAAATGATTAATAGGGAATCAAGCCAATACCTTTGAAGAAAGGCTGCAGGTATTTGAGTATACTTGATATCACATATTCAAATTCAAGTAATGAATTTCATTCATTTTAGTCATTTAACACATACATAAAAGGTATGATTTCCCTAGATTTCGTCCATTTCCTTCACACTCTTTATATTTTCATTTTTAGATTTTATCTATTTTTGTAGCTTAGATTTTCATCTTGGTACTAAAGGACTAAAAAATTTACATTTTAAGTTCTTTTTAACTTTTCCAGTCTCCCCTGTGACTCATCACCCATGGGTTTCCTGAAGGAAATGGTATTTCAGAATCTCACCTACTATTTCACAGCTTAAAAAATAACTTAATCAAGTATTAAGGATAACCATCATAATTCTCACCAAGACTAAAATGCAAGTCTGTCTCACATGAAAAATGGGACACCCAGTGGGTATGTTCTGTAGACAATTTAGAAGTCATTGTATTGAAGCTCTTGTGAGAAGATGGTTGAAGGATACTTATCTGAAATTCAGATAGGAGCAATTGTCAAAACTATTAGCTTGATGAAAACATAATTGTGGTTTTTACTATTACTTTTAATGGCAAAAATTGCAATTACATTTGTACCAATCTAATATTAGAAAGAATGATTTCTTTGTAATAGTATAGGATTGAGTATAATAAAATTAATTAGGAAAGCCTTGGCCAGGTGTGGTGGCTCACGCATGTAATCCCAGGACTTTGGGAGGCTGAGGCAGGTAAACCACCTGAGGTCAGGAGTTCAAGACCAGCCTGGCCAACACGACGAAAAAATAAAAAAAATAGCTTAATGTGGTAGTGAGTGCCTGTAATCCCAGTTACTTGGGAGGCTGAGGCAGGAGAATAACTAGAACCCAGGAGGTGGTTTATATATATGTATATATGTTTATATATATATATATATATATATATATATATATATATATATAAAAGAAGAAGAAGAAAAGAAACTCTTAGGAAAGGCTTCCTGGGAAAACTGTTTCTTCAGGGTTTTGAAGTTAGCAGGGACTTGCATTGGTGGAAATTGATGCACTATATTATTCAGATACTGGAGTAGCACACAGAAGTCCCTTAGGAAGGAAGAACAAGCTAATGAGTTCAGGGAAGCGAATTTTGTCTAAAACAGAAATCTGTTGAAGGATAATGAAAAAGGGTTAATGAAATCATGACCTGAGACTGGTGACATGGTGTAGGATACTCAAGAAGATATACATTTGCATTTGATACAAAAGAATTCTTGAACAGGGAAATAGAAGCAATGTTGGAAGAACCTGATCCATTGGTCTCGAGACTGGATTGGAAGGGGAGAGTCAAGCAAGGACATGTTCTCAGTTGTTCTGCTGACAGGTAATGAGCCATGAGCTTCAGTGATGTTTAGGAAGTGAAGAAGGGTGGCAGTAAAAATAGAACAAGAGACATACAGGAAAGACCTTATGGATTTGATTAGATAAACCTTTATAACATTTGCATGAGTAACATGAAAAGGTGTTGAAGATGTTGGTAAGTCTACATTCGGGTTGATCTATACAAAGTTACCAGTGTTTGACTTTTTAAACCTACAAAAGTGGTACTTTTAAATGATTCCTTGTAATACACACCTGGCTTGGGTTGGAGATGACTACTCTCAAAAATGGATAATGGCATCAATGAAGAACTGAGAATTGCAAAGATAGCAGTACTACCAGTTAAGTGAGGACAAAAGCCTTAAGCGATTGGGCTAAGAGCTCTGAGCTGGTAGCATAGTGAATTGTAGTATTGAGAAAAAAGGGAAGGAAGGAAGGAAAGAAGGAGAAAGCAGGCAAGCAAATTTCATGAATGCTTTTTCTTTGAAATTTTAAACATGTATTTTTTTATGTACAACAGAAAGTCTCAGATAAAACAATGCAGTTTTTTCCTAAGTGGTGTTTAACCAGTATAGAGAAACTTTGGGAAATTGATTGCTTCATCAGACAGTTTGGCCCTGATCTAGTCAATTGCTCAATTTGGAGTTACTTGAATATTTAGCAAGGAAAAAGATATTTTTGGAATTTGAAAGGGAAGCATGTTTTTGCTTATTTTTCTAGTCATTTTTATGTAGCCACTAAGAGGATCAGATGAAAGTAAACAAAATAACACTCCCTAACATACATGTGCACACACACACACATACGCACATGTGCAAACACACACACACCCCTGATAAAATAACATTTGTGCCCTTTGGAGAGAAAGGTAGGTACATGCAACAACACACTGTTTTAAGATACCCAATTTGGCTACATTACTTTGAAAATTCTCTCCACTTCTCCATGCGGATCTGACTGGTGAGCATAAATTAGTTACAAATAGCCCATGTGTGCATCTAATAAAGAAGATCACAGCACTGCTACACTAAGTTTGTGATGCTTTCAACAAGCCAGTGGCGGTATGAGTCTGTGGGTGATCTCCCACAGATTCCTTTGAGAAAGATGTGAGTCATGAGACCAGATCTCTAAGGAGGCAGGCCACACTCAGGACCAAGCCACAGCTGAGGAAAGTTTACATGTTTTAGAGTGGCAAATTGTCAGGTTGTTTCTGTTCATTTTCTATTCAAACTCACGTCCAGGGCTTCCTGAGTACCACAGTAAACACTGGCTCTGTCTTCTCTAAGCTAAGCCAGTGTGGGACATGGGGTGAAACAGAATGGGCTCATTCTCCAGGTTCCCTCCATTTGCATGCATATTTTATTAGGTCATCAAAGAAGCAGCTTATGAAGAGGCATACAGGAACATTTGTGTGTGTGTGTGTGTGTGTGTGTGTGTGTGTGTGTGTGTTGTAGGAATACATAGTTATTTGTACTCACTTGGAATGTACAGGATGAGATGTTTCATATTTAACCTACTCTGTGCCCTCCAACCCCTGTTAGGTACTTCTGGGTAATTCAGAAGAAATTTAATATGTAGTCTTTGAATGTGAGGGATTCACAGATTAGGTGGGGACATAAGGATCTGTACAAAAAATAATTAAAGAACAACAAAAACAGTTTATAATCATTGTTGGATAGTACGTATTGTAAGAGTCTGAGAAGTGAGTTTCTTGTGAGCTAATATAATCAGGGAAGGCTTCTTGGAAAAAATGCTGTTTCAATTTTAAATCTCATTAAATTTCAATTAAATTGGCATTTATTGAATATCTATCATGCCAATGTGCTCCATCATGGCACTAACATTTAAGTTATGAGTGAGAAACCATTCTGGTATAAGCCTCTTCGTATTAGGTAGAGCCATGTAAATGCTTTTTGATAATTGTGTTCCACCAAAAAAAAACACATTGTAACTACTCTCTCCCCCCCCCCCCCCCCCCCCCCCC